TTTCATATAGATTAACATGTCCTCCATATGACTCAACGTTCAGATTTAAGAATAAGATATTTTTTTCACCCAAGATTTTTACAAGTGGAAATGTACGTTTCTGGTAGAATGTCCCATATAGACAACAGAGAGTGAATTAAATTCAGCACTTTTATTTCCAACATGCGCCCATTCATGGCTGCATATTATTTAATTCACGCAAAGTTACGTCTTTATTGGGACAGGACTTGACGGATTATCTTACATGACTCCGTGAGTTCGTCTCTATTTCTTCGAGCCAAGCTGCATAAACTGCATATCAGGCATTTATGTAATACATCTCATTTGTGCATTAATGGCTGTTATGTTAAATAAAGTTTACTAACTACAGTAAATCAAGTACCCGTGCACGCCGTTGTTGTTGTCTTGTTTCCCCTCAGTTGCGCTGCAATGGTGATCCTGCGCGCAATTCTCAAAACATCCACAAGATGGCGGCGTTTATCGGTGAATCCGATATTACAAAACCGATATCCGATTATCGCTAAATGCTTAAATATCGGGAAAAATATCGGTAAATCGATATATCGGTCGATCTCTTGTCCTCAACCATTCATGACAAAAATATCATGGTTTAATGCACTGGCATTATGCTTACCTGTAGTCTCTGTTGTAATATGTGGCATTCCCTGATCTTCCAGCGGCAGCTCCAACAGACCAGAGATGTTTATGGAGAGAGCTGAGAGGCTGGTAGAACCAGAGTTCCTCTTCACCACCATTTTGAGTTGTGGAGTCAGATCTTTCCAGTCGGCCAAAAGCCATTTGCAAAGCGTAAGCACAGAGCGACAGGCAGCACGCTCACACTTTCCAGAGTGACAGTATGAAAGCGCACAGGAACTCAGCATTTCCATAGCAGATACAGACTGACCTAAAAGGCAGAGAGAAGAAGTGCTTAGACATTCACATTGCAACACACCAAGACCAAGTGAAGTGGCCCAAATCAGACCGACACAGCTTAAAAACACTCACCAGCAGCAAACAGAACTTTAGCCTTTTCGATCTCCAGCTCTGGTCCCCACTTCTCCCCAACAGTGCCCTCTAGTGACAGCTGCCTGAAGCTTTGCACCAGGTCCTGACCTTCAGAGTCACCCACTGATGGCTTGTTGCACAGACTCAGCAGATGTGTGGCCAGGGCAATATTTCCTTGCTTACGAGCAAATTTCACCGCAGTCAGACAAAGCTCCATCAGATGAGAGTCCACTGGAGCAGACAAACCTGGAGGAATCATTGAAGAGTCAACAGAGATGTCACATCACATTCATAAGTCATACGTATACATAAGAGAATGATACCTTACCTTTGAGTTTTTGGAAGAGCTGCCTTTGGAAAGTAGTGTATCGGAGAGCATGCAGCCACGGCTGAACATCCTGCTGCTTGCAGGTGGTCAAAGCTTCACTGAAGAGCGGAATTAGACAGTCCTGCAGGAAGAAAAACAAAGGGATTTCTTAAAAAAGTAAATGATAATGTATTTGCACGTTCACAGTGTTGATGTGGTGGCTCAAACCTCTGGGTGCTGGTTGCAGAGGGAGTTCTCTAGAGAGTTGGCACAGTGCAGCTGCAGGGTGCTGAGGGTGGGCAAGGAGTCAGATAGGGTGAGAGTGGAGAGACGCAGGGGACCCAGAGAGATGCGACCCGTCTGTTTCAGGTACTTCACCAGGGTGCTGAAGATGAAAACCCAAAAGTAGAATCGCCATCAATAAATTCACAACTTGTTGAAAAATCTATTGCGTTCAGACCATTTACTCACTCAGACGATGCGAGAACCTTCTGGTCCTGTTCGTGATTGGTCGCAGTGATGGCTCCCACAGCGCTTCTGAGAAGCTGTACCTCAATGGCCTTCTGGAGCTCTGACGGGTCTGGGCTCAACACAGCAGGAAGAAGCCTCTTCAGGTCTATCAACACAAACAAACATTAATACATACCGCACCAAATGGCTGAGTGAAGCTGATTGTAGAAAATGGATTCCACATGTTCTGACCAATGTTAAACAAATCATTAAAGGATTTATAAAAATCATCCTTACAAAAAGCAATTTCTAGTTTCTAGTATAAAAATTTGAGCTGAGCATTACGGTGAAAAAATGATGCTAACAATAATAATGATAATTCCCAACAGATGTTCTTTTTTCCATGACTGTGGATAGTATGGGCTATTATCATACCAATCTTGTCCTTAGTTGTAGAGTTGAGAAGACCATAATCCTCCCCGGGGAGCAACTCCAGCTGGGTACGGCACTCTGTGAAATCCCCCTCCTCAAACCCGCTCAGAGCTCTGGAGGGCAGACAGACCAAAACACAATTATTTCAATGAACAACTCACACTCCACCAGTCAGGAGAAGTTCAGTCAGAGTAAACAGTTCTGCTACTACACACCTGATGTAGTTAAAGTCTGTTTTGAGGTTGACACTGGAACTGCTGCTGTTCTTTTTGAGGTTCATCATGCTGGCCTGCCACTCCTGCATGGACTCCCAGTCACTCAGGGCCACATAACACTCACAGGCCTTATTAGCCAGGAAGTTGAGCACTTCTGGAGAACACTCACTGGACTTCAACAACACAGTTTTCCTTCCATCTCCTATTAAAACAGTAATGACAGACACAATAAGAACCAAGACAACTTTTGCAAAAAAAACAAAACAAACAAAAAAAATTAAGGCTAGGGATGGGAATCCTTTGGAATCTCAATTTGATTCGATTTTTCGGATCACAATTCAATATGGTAAAACTACTTGGTACAAAAATACACTTCTGGAGGTTTTTGTTTTGCATCTTTCATTTCTGAAGGATAGTGACTAGTGATTTCTTTCTAACTTTATTAGATGTATGCATCATCTTTTTTTATCCATTCATACATGTACACAAATTCAATCTGAATAATGAGACAAGCCATTACCAATAAATTGAAATCAGTATCAACAAAAAACATCTTTGCACTCCAGAGGTGGAACAGAAGCTGCATTCACAGGCTTTTTAATGCAGCTCAGATGTGAAAAATGTACCTACACAGCAACCGCATAAATAATACTATGAGATTAAATGTTTAAAAAATAAAAATAATATTGAAATATAAAATGAAACTAACTGGCACTCATGACATATGAAACTAGAACTGCCAATAGGTGGTGACATGTTCTTTTCGTTCATTTGTCCAAAATGGCTGATTAATTCAGAAATAAAGTCAGTCACTACAGTCTTTATGAATGAGTAATTGAATCGTTCACTCATACGGTTCAGTCAAAAACGAATTCATTCAGTAATGAAACATCACCGTCTGTTGCGCAGTGGATCAATTCGAATCAGTAGAAGAATCGAATCGGTAGAAATCTAGAATCAGATTTTCACCTCTCCCCCTTTCAAGATTATTCTCAAGTTTATTTCGAGACATTTAGTGCAAATTTTGTAAATCCTCACCACTGCTGGTGTGTTTTGGGCTGGAGGTGTTGGAGCCAGTGAGTTTTAACAGAGAGTGATCAAAGCCTTTAATGGAGCAGTCCATCCCTGTGACAGCACACAGCTGCTCTTGGTACTCTAATGCTGCCTTCTCAAACCTGGGGAAAAATGCAACATCAACATTTCATGAGACCAGAGCGTCTAGACAAATTTGCATGGTGTAAACTAGGTAAATTATTTTCAGAACACAAAACACTTACTTTCCCTCTGCCTGCAGTGCCACTGATCCCAGCCAGCCCAGGCTCTTGCCAGTGCTGGCCAGACTCCAGGCTGCCAGACCTTGTATGGCTTCAGGGCATCGCAGCTCACACAACGCCTCCACCAGCATAGTGACTGGCACCTCCATTTCTGGCCCCTACAGAGCAAAAACAATGAACTAAGGCTTTTGGATATATAAGTCCAAAGAGTGTAGAGCCAGTGCCTTACAATAACTGACATCTCAAAAAGGAGCAATGTTGAGAAGTTAATGGTGTGATAGTTCAAAGACTTGAACATATTTCAGTCATTGTGAATTTGCTAAATTTGAAATGCACTGCATAAAATTAAATGTGTGAATGACAATGAAACATTTAGAATTTACCTTAAGATTGTATTATCGTTTAATGCATATTTTCACAAAAATTATTTGTTGGAGCCTACTTTGAACAACACTGCTTCAAGGGATAGTTCACCTAAAAATTAAAATCCTGTCTTTAATTACTCACCCTCATGTTGCATGCCAAGCACGCAAGACCTTTGTTCATTTTCAGAACACAAATTTAGATATTTATGAAATCAGAGAACTTTCTGACCCTGCATAGACGGCAAGTGAACTACTACGTTCAAAGCACAGAAACGTTGCAAGGACATCGTTAAAATAGTCCATGTGACATCAGTGGTTAAACTGTAATGTTATGAAGCTACAAGAATAATTTATGCGCACAAGCAAAACTAAAATAACGACTTTACTGAACAATTCTTCTTCCTTGCCACTGTCTGCAGCCATATGTTCACGAGAGTAACACGACGCGTGCATGTGCATTCCTCTGCTTGTAAACAAGGCATGTGTGTTCTATGTCAGCAGCACCACACACATACGTGTCGTGGTACTCTCGTGAATAGCGGCGAACAGTGACTGGGAAGAGAAGAATTGTTGAATAAAGTCGTTATTTTTGTTTTCTTTGCGCACAAATATTATTCTCGTAGCTTCATAACATTACTGTTGAACCACTGATGTCACATGGACTATTTTAACGATGTCCTTACTACGTTTCTGGGCCTTGAACATGTCAGTTGTGTTGCTGTCTATGCAGGGTCAGAAAGCTCT